CCATTTTCCAGTTCCTGCTCTCATTTGTCGCATTTGAACAATTTTCATTGCCCGCTTTTGGGCGGCGTCAAATAAATAGTTTCTTTCCTTCTTCCCTTCTTGTTGTGTGTGTAATTTATTAAATGCTTCTTTTATTTTTTTGGGGGACAACGACGACGGGCATTTTGTCAATGGCTGGGAATTTTTATATTGCCATTGAATTTTGGCCAAAAGTATTTCCACCAATATTGGCAAGAAGATAGAGTCGCAGCACGAGAGAGAGAGAGAGAGACACCGTCTCAGACAATTGTTTGCCGATATTTCTAAAGGGGGAAAGGAAAGGTGGCAGGTGGGAAGGTGGGTCTGAGAATGATTTTCATTTTCAACAGCTGCCAGAACGGAAGCCCGGCATACTACTTTCTTCGTCTGTCGTCTTAGTCTGGTTGCTTTCTCCCCCCTTTCCCACACGCTGTCTCCGTCTCCGTCTCAGTCTCAGTCTGCTTCCGGCTGCTTTCATGACCGTGAAAGTGTTGCCCTTGTTCCTTGGCCCAGGACCCTCTATGCTTGGCTAGCCATTGTTGCAATGCCAGATATATGTATGGTATGTAGTATAATATATATATAAATATATACATATGTATATGGCGCAGCTACAGTCAGTTTAAAGTCGCGACTGTTTGCCCAACATAACGAGATCCTTTTGGAAGCCAAAATCAAACACACATGAGCCACCACCAAAGCAGGAAGAGTACTCAAAAAGCACAGAGAGAAATTAATAGGAAAATTAATATTATAAAGATTAATATTATACAAATGAATATTATTAAAATTAATATTATTAAAATTAATATTATTACAAGTTATTATTATAAAAAAAAATATATAAATTATTATTATTAAATATAAATATTATTAAAATTAATATTATAAAAATTAATTTTTTAAAAATTAATATTATTTAAATTAATATTTTAAAAATTAATATAATCAAACAAAAATATTATAAAAAGTATTATTATTAAAATAAATATTTTAAAAATTAATTTTATTCAAAATTAATATTATAAAAATTATTATTGTAAAAGTTATATTGTAAAAGTTAAAATTATGAAAATTAATATTATAAAAATTAAAAAGCTCTCTTAAAATATTTTTTTTATTGATATATACTAGGTAAATGTATCTTCAGTACACCCTCTCTAATTTAAAAAAGAAAGAAAGTCCCCTTTAATTATCTGTTGCTATTTAAAAAAAAAATTATATAAATTTTTAATTTGTAAATCCTTTTTCTTTGAGTGCCCGAGGGACTGGGAAAGTCAGCACCAACCCTCCTCGGGCTTGAATTTCCTCTGTGCGCCACTCAAAAATGCAGCCGGGCTACTCAGAAGTCAGACCTTGGGTTATTCTTTCCACTCCTGGGGGTGGCTGCACCCTGGCCAGGAGGAAAGCAAGAATTTGAGCCTTAAAAACATCAAGCTATTAGAGAGATATCCCTGCATGTTTCCTATTTTATTTTATTTTTTTTATATGTGTCCCGGCAAATCTGTAAGCAAATGAGTGAGTGGAATAGCTATAATATGCGAGGGGGAAAATTCGGAGGGCTAACTTAATAAGTATCGCATTAGAGCCTTAGGAATATTTTGGGGATGATAAAATGCGTTGTTCGAAATGGAGGATAGTCCGGGTCCGGTATCCATCTGAGAGGTTATTTGCGCATCCAATTTTGTTTGGATTTCCACTACAAATCGTTGGGACTAAGCTAGGCTTTTTGGTATAACTATGATTTTATGGGTTTATATGTTTTCGGGAGATGTGATAAACTAAGCTGGGTTATTAATACAATTATAAGCTTAGTTTTGGTGTTGAGTAAATCATGAAACTATATTTTTGTAAGAAAAGGGTATCTAAAAATTATTAAAGAACATTTTATTATATAGTTTACATGGAATTTGTGAAATATATGAATGAAAAAGAGGGTTTCAAAGGTTATCACCCTTTTTAAACAAATTACCTGACTCCTTAATTGTTGCTTTTATAAATGAAGTATTTTATTTACACTGTATTTAATTAAATATTTAATATTTCTTATTTTTTAAATTAAAGAAAAGACAAATTTCAATAAATGAAATACTTTTTTGCACAATATAAAATTCAAAATTTAATATTTTTAATTCTAAATAATATTTAAAATATATATTTCACCAAAGAAAACTATTTTAAATATTATTATAATGTTTCTGACCTATTCAAAATATATATTTCACCTAAGAAAACCATTTTAAATATTATTTTAATTTTTCCTGAGTGCCTAATTGTTACTTTTATAAGTTAAATAAAATTCTGGGAATATATAACATTTAAAAATGTAATATATCTTATTTCAAATAATATTTAAATTATTTTTTTTTTTGTTTACTTAATACAATTTCAAAGAACTATCTAAAACCTCCTAAGGTCAAACCTCTGCTGCGCTTTGACTTGAAACCATTTAACTTTGACCCCGCCGCGTGTCTCCTCTGGGGCTCTGGGGCCCATTAGGAGGGTACTCTGTCCGGTAAATGACTATCATTGGGTGTCTTTCTACCCCCCAAAAAAAAAAAAGAAGAAACCCAAGTTGCATTCCTCCTCCTTCTAAACACCGCCACTCCACAACTTTCAAATAGTTCTCGTTGGCAAGCCAAAAAAAAAAAGAAAAAGGCGAAAAAGGGACCCAACCGCACCGCACCGTTGCTGCTGACGTAATAAGCAATACTTAAGACCTAATGCAGGGTATAAAATATGCGCAGCATTTGTACGCCCACCTCTCGCACTCTGCCGCCAGGACACCAAGGGTTGGTGGTCCCTTTCGTCCTTTTGGGTCGCCCGCAGTGCTCGCTTGCCGCTGCTGTGATTTTTGATTTAAGCATAATTTCGCAACATTTTCGCTGGGTCCTCCTGCTGTGAGCTTTGAAAAATTTCAAACATTTCTTCAAGGGATTTGTGCAATTTTCCCTTTTTTTTCCCCCCCTCCAGTTGCTTCTGTTTGTCTGCTAACGTTTTTCCTTTTTTTTCTGCTGCTTTACTGCTTGCTTCCCTTCTGTTTTTACTCGCATTTAAATGGTTGGCAAATAAACAGGCGAACATTTTGCATTTCCATTTCATTGCGTTTGGTCTTGAAGGAGACGTCTGGCTGTCTGTGGCAGCTTCTGGGCTTCATTTCCTGCTTCTGGTGATGCGGCTGTTGCTGCCTCCATGGCGTATGATTAATGCCTCAGAAGCCAAAGGGACAGCTGGAACTCGATCTCCACTTCAAAACCCGTTTAATAAATGACATCAAAAATTAAAATTCGCTGCCGGCGCGTAAATCAAATTTACAAAAGCGAATATATATAGTCTTTCTAGAGTGTGCGATATGCATCTGGAAGGTGGTATCAACAAAAAAGGTGAGCCAGCAACCAGGCAACCTAATTTGACACTGAGGCAGAAATAACTCAATTAGTGCCACAGCGTGACCCTTTTTTGTGTTGCTTACTCTCTCTCCAACAAGTTCCTCGTCTCTTTAAGGGTTTAAAAAAGAAATCCGGATCCGTGGGTGTTGTTAGTGGTAACGAGCCAAGTGGAAAGTGTGGAAAGCAGCGCGGAAAAAGCCCTCGACTTTTTGTCCCAAAGCCAAAACACGCTCCGTTGGCTGTTGCTTTTCATCCCGCTAATGAAAGGGAGTATCTCGAACGTTTTTAAATTAAATGCGTCCGGCAGTGCAAATATTTGGATCAATGGAATGTTTTGACAGTATGGTTCAAGAGGGGACATTCAAAAAAAAAAATGAATTAAAATATAAAATCAAAGAAAAAAGCTGAGGGGGAAAGAGATATAGAATAAGATAGACTATGAGATACCCGGCAGCAAAAAGCTAAGTTAATCTTTAATATTGATTTACAAAATTCCCCGAAAAAACTGAAATAAATCCTTTTACATTTGTTACCATCACCATTAGCCTCCTATCATCATTTGTGAAGCCTGAACCCTTAGCTCTGGCTCATTGAAATTCATGTGCGAGCATCGTTTATCTTTTGATTAGCTTCCCCAGGGTATCGCCTCGGTCTACTCACTCTAGAGCTCCTATTTATGTTCGAATAATCTACATTTGCATAAGCAGTTTGCCTTGGCATCAATTCTGGCATCGCTTACACTTGGCAAACATCATCATCAACATTATCGTTGTGACAGAGGGTGACATATAGCAGGGGTATATCTGTATATACATATATATATTTTCATGTACATATATCAAAACCAAAAAAGGACACCATCCCCCATGCGAGGCTGCACTTTTGATGCTGCTGGAAAGTATGCTATGCTCACTCCCACACACACACACACACACACACACACAGGGAGAGAGAGAGGGAACTTCAAAAGCCAGCCCTTGGCAATTTTCAATTAAAAACGCCTACAAACGCGCTACAGAATTTCTCTTCTGTTTTTATTTCCCTCTTTGTTTGCCGCCGTCGAAACCCAGGCCTGCGGCTAAAAGCCAGCTCCAGCTTCTGCTTGGCTTTCCTCTGCAAAATTTCCCGACTAGCCTTAAAGTTGTATAGCAGTTCTAGAAATTTCATCCCAACATGGAATTGCACTCTCTTTTGCTGGCGGAGATTACAGCAAAAATGGCCCAAGGCAGTGTGTCGAGTGTCGAGCAGGAGAAGGATACTAACAAACTGGGCTCTAAACTTGGTCAAGTGTAGGTGTTTCAAGCAAGGAACAGCTCCTTAGGCGGTTTTTCTTTACAGGAAAAATCTTTAAAAATTTGTAAACCCAAATTTAAAATATAAGTAGCAGCAGGAAGGAAGATACTGCTACCTTCCTTCCTTCCATCTAAGCTAGAATCCGTTGGGAATCCTAAGCGTTGACTCGAAGGCAAAAGCAAATCTAGAAAATCGGCGGCAATAGTTCTTTTTCTCTTGTTTAATATTTATATTATACATATATGGTATATTTTTAATATTTACATTATATATATTTTATTTTTTAATATTTATTTCCAGTCTCGCACATCCCTAGTGTCCAGTTCCGAGGGCGGCATCCTAGCCGAGGGCGAAACATCCAGCGAGGATGGCGAAGAAGAAGAACCCGTGGAGGCCGAGGATGAGGATGAGGGCGGTGGTGAGAGTAGCCGTGACGATTCCAGTGACAATTCACCGCCCTGCGATCTGGGACTGATGGAGCGCCTGCTGCTCACCCATCCGATGTGGTTTCTGCCAGGCATCCAGCGTTCCGGGGCCGTGCATTTGCTTCAAGGCAAAGAGGAAGGGGTGAGTGATAATTATTAATTTATTGATTTAGCTTAATGAGACAATTTGGTGAAATCAGCAAAAAACACATGAGACCGCCACGAAATTTGCACAACAATGAAGGGGCGAAAAAAAAAAACACACACACACATACATTTTCGCATTTACATAAACAAATTGCAATCAATTAACGAGCCATGTCCTGCTGGACATGTCCTGCGTGGCCGGGGAAGATTCATTAATATTACGACAGGGACAACAATGCCGAGAGCCCTTTTAATTGTAAATTGTATAAAGATAAACAAAGAAATGTAGCCAGGACATTGGGACTAGAATCAGGACTCTGGTGATGGTGCTGCGTTTGCAAATTCATTGAAATTTATCTGACTCCGAGCAGCGGCGAATGTGCAGACAATGGGTGGCCATTCCAGGATGAGGATGAGGATGAGTATGAGGAGAGCGCCATATCTAGCATGAGAAACGAGCGGCCATTCACAAAGGGCGACAAGAGACAAAAGGCAAGCACCAGTAATGGTCAGCAGGCAGTCAGAGAAGAGATTGAAAAAAGCTGGGAAAAAAGGAGGAGGAGGAGGAGCTGGAAGAGAAGCAGAAGGAGGAGAAGGACTAGGACTACGACTACGACGACTAGGACCAGGAGCAGTAGCAGCAGTATCTCTTAGAGTCTGCACTGTAACCACACCTAGAATATTCCTCTCTAATTGCCAAATAGAAAACTCCAGCAAATAATTTAGTTCCCCCACTTTCTCTCAGTGCTTCTGAAACTCCTATTCATACTCTGGGCTCACCTATTCCTATTTTCCTATTCAAAGCTCTTTGCATAGACAATTGAAATTACCGGGGCCAGTGCCTGGCTGGAACCTGGCTTGATGATAGGACAGGTAAAGCCTGAATGGAACCGACAGAAAAGGATATTCTCTCTCCCCGGCATTCGAGTGGAATGTCCAACAAATTGTACAGATTCAATAAGGCAAGGACAGCAATTATCACGTGGGGGGGAAACTCATTAAGGGACCCGGTGATTTCCCTATATATTTTTTTTCCTTTGGATTTTAAAATTCCACCAGCTTTTGTTTAATATTAGTTCAAGGCAAAAACCCCTGAAAATGGATATTTTTTCAATTACCAAGTTTTTGTTGAACTTTGTGGCAATGTTTAACTGCCAAGTATAAGTTTAAACGAAGCGAATAAAAGTTTGGAAATTTCATGGAAAAAAATAGGATTAAAAGTTGTTAAAGAAATGTGGAAATAGAGAAAGCTGAAGTAATATCTAGGTGGCTACCTCAAGGCATATCAAGAGTAAGGGTGTTGGAAATTATTAAATTAAAATAAATATAAGATAGATCGATATTTTTTTATTATAAATATTTTTTGTTATTTAATATCGATATTTTTTTTTATAAATATTTGTTATAGATATTTTTTTTTAGATTTTTTTAAAGATATTTGTTATAGATTATTTTTTTAAAGATATTTTTTTAAAGATATTTTTTATAGATTATTTTTATAGATATTTTTTATAGACATTTTTTATTGATATTTTTTATAGATATTTTTTTATAGATATTTTATTGTTGATATTTTTAATAGATATTTTTTAGAGATTTTTTTTAGAAATATTTTTGTATAGATATTTTTTTATAGATATTTTTTAATATTATTATTTCTAAAAGATATTTTTTAAAGATATATATATATATTTTTTAAAGTATTTTTTTCTAATAATAATTTTTTAATAATAATAATAATTTTTCAATAATAATAAAATTTCTATGGTATGACATTTTTTATATTTAATATTTTAATCATTAAACTTATTTACAATTTTATATTTGAGCATGATATATGTGTAGATATATGTATAATATCTGAGTTATCTATCCTAATCCCTTTATAAATAAAAGGTATATTTAAAGAGCAACCATTAAGAGACATGACCAGGAAAATGGGAAATGGCACGCACACTCCTTATTTGAATGAAAATCTCTTTTCTCGTTGATTCTTTACTTTTCTTTTTTTTTTATTCTTTTTTTTCTGCTGCTCTGGCAGCTTTGCAATTTTCAATTGTCGAACGCGTCGTAACAATGGCTCATTGATTGCAACGGGCCGACTTCCGACTGCAACCCTAATGCTCCTCCTCTTGGATTTACCTCACTTAAGCTACTCTGCACTGGCAGAAAATATTATAGACAAACGTATATTATTTAGGGAATATAAAAAGGGGTTAGTTATAGGATCTCTGAAATATAGAGATTTTTTTTTTTAGATTTTAGGCAAAACTTTAAGCTTTTTAAGCTGAAAAAATCAATGATTTCTCTGGAAAATAGATTAACTTAAAATCTCTTATATATTATATATTTTATATATTATATATTTTATATATTATATATTTTATATGTTATATATTTTATATATTATATATTTTATATATTATATATTTTATATATTATATAAATGAACTTAAAATCTTTTATATATTATTTAATAATTTTCTCTGCCAGAAATTACATTATTTTCCTAGCAGTGCATTCAAAAATTTGTATGTGGGAGGCGCAACTTTTTCGCCAACTTTTGCATTTTGCCGGCTGCTCATTTCCAGTGCGTCTCGTTGTCTGCTAGCTGTCCTTTTCCCCCCTTACACTCCTTGGCAGGATCCTCTCCACCATTCAATGCTAATTGCATGCGTCAACAAAAGAAGAAGGAGCTGGGGGAAGCAGCCTCAATTATACGGCAAAACGCTTCGTAAAGGCTCCTTAAATCCCCCATTAGAATGCAGGACACTTGCTCTCACACCCTCTAGTTTATGCGTTTAATATGTATATATATATAAATATATATATAGGAAAAAAAAGAGAGGGAAAAGCAAAGCATTTAATTGAAATTGAAGTAGTCCTGCACTCGTTTTGTGTGTAAATGTTTGTAATTAAAAATCAATCAATACTCTTGCCAACGGACCGCCTTTTGTGGCGTCACATGTGGCGATCCATTTGCCTGCCTGGTATTTTAATTACTCGCTGGGTTTTCCCCCCCATTTGAAGCTTAACAGATTTTTCCCTAGCCTTGTTTGCACGGCTTTCTGTTGATTTTTTTTTTTGCTGTATATTCCGGTATCCTGGCTTCCCGGCATCCGATTTCGATTCTGATTTTTCCCCCATCAATCATAAATTAAAGGAGGAGCAGGAGGAGCTGGAGTTCCTGTTGGTCACATGTGCGTATGTCTCGCATTTCCATTCACCATCCACCGATTTATGTACGTATTTTTTTTTTGCCGTCCTGTGTATTTGTTATGCCGACCACAGAATGTAATTAGCAGCAAATGTCGATGGTTGATGGACCAAACGATGACCTGACCACCGGGCCAACAGCTGGCCCAGCAGTGGATATAGGGGAGGAGGTATACAGGATATGGTGGTGATTGTAGGAGTATGAAACGATTTGAAGGAGTCGCAACATCATTAGCGTTCGACACCTGTCCAGTGAGCGATGGCTGTTTAATGGTTGTTTAGACGAGAGGCTTGAATATTTTTTTTAGAATGAAAGTAGTTTAATTCATTAAGGTAGTATTATATCCTTGAAGAACTAGGAAGAATTTGGGGTATTTTTGAAATTATGAAAATAGTTATGTGAAAAAATTTAAGTTTTATAAAAAATAAGTTGCTAAAAGAAAGTTTTACAAATAAAAAGCTAAATAAATTGCCAAATAAGGCTATAAATCAAAGAATATAAGACATATTTATGCTTTCTCTATTTATTTGTAGAATTTTATACATTTAAATATCCCTCAAAGGGAAAATCGATTGCCTTTGTCTTGATACAAAATTAATATGCCATATTTTTTCCGAACAAAAACTAATCTTCCCTCGAAATGACAGCTGAAATCTCGCTTTTGGCAATCTTAATTCTGACTTTTCGGCATTAATAATTCCTTGTGCATTCATTGCACTCTCGTTTCATTTATTCTTTTCGCATTTTTTCGCACGCGAAATGAGTTTGATTGGGGGAATCACACACGCACATCCTTTGATCCTTTGGCCCCCCCAAATCCTTTGTTTGTTTCGCTCAACTATTTTTTCGGACGCAAACGTTTGATTTATGAATGCATGACCAGAGCCAGGCCAAAATGAAGTTGTTAAGCTGCAGCTAAGGCCAATCCGCATTGACATGCTTAAATGGCCAAAAACGGAACAAACAGTTAAATTGAATTGATTTTTTTTTTTATATTTTTTTTATTTTGTGTTTTCCGGCTGCGGCTTTTCGTATTTCTCTTCTGTTGCAGCTGCTGTTTGGCATGTGTTTCAATGTCACCCTTTTTATCTATTTATTTCTCGTGTTCCTTCATGGCAAAAAGTCAGACGATGTTAAAAAACGGAAATAAAATACAAAAAAAACCATACTCTGAAAAACACACGAGACCCTGGAGAAGAGTGGCGCACATAGGCGCAGACAGTTTTTATTTATCACCCAAGCTCCAAGAACTGCAGGAGACTGGGATCCTTTTGGTGGCTGGGATCGGGTGGCAAATGGCCATCAACAGCAGGCACAGGAGAGGAGTCAGTCAGTCAGTTAGCCAGCTGATGAGGCAAACGATAAGGGAAAGCAGACAGTTGCAGGATGAGTTGCCTCTGGTCCAGCCCACGCCAAGCTCCGTATCCTGTTCAATTCGATTTTCCCCCCATTGATGGTGGGTGTGTCCGAAAATGATATTAGCAACCGCACATGGCAAGCGGGGAGGGAGGATAAGATAGGGGAAAGCAGGAGCACAGGATGTGGTATTTATTGATGTGTTTATACGGTCTTAAAGTCACTTTAAAGGGTCACTAACTTTAATTACTATAAATTGAGAAGGGCAGAAAATATTGATATTATTAATATTTCTAAAGTTGACAAATTAATATCGATATTGTATCAATAATTGACTTGAAAATTGATATATGTATACGGGGATATTTTAGAAATATGCAATAAATCGATTTTTTAGATATTTGCAATAAATCGTTTTTTTG